GAAAAGAAATTCAATGAGAACACAGATTAAGAGCTAAATAAATTTCAAGTATAGAAAATACACAGCTGAATGAGCTGAAAGAAAAAAGTTAACAGTTAAAAGATATCAAAGGAAACACAGATAAATTGAAGAAGTAAATTTAGGATATTATAGAGGTTCTCAATAAAGAGACAAACTGAAGGCTGAGAAATAAAAAGAAAGTGGAAACAGTAAGACTAACAGAAAATATTTTTAGGCTAGGAACTCACAGGTGCAATGCCTCTTAACATTTAAAATACTATTTATTGAAATGAATTCCAAGAAATGGAAATATGGGTTTTGTTGGTGGTGGTGATGAAGCTGATATTGTTTTTGCTTGTTTGTTTGTTTGTCTTTTTGCTTTGTATTGTTTGTTCTTTTATCTGTCTTTTGAGGTAGAGTGGGCGGTGCAGAAATGGAGGGAAGAAGGGTGAACAAATGCAGCCATGATACTCAGTAGACACTATATAGAAAATGAACTATGCAACTTGTGGGCAGGGATGGGAGAGGGAAACTGGGAGAAAGCAAAGGCAGGGTGACATTGTCCAAAAAGAAGTGTGCTAATCATTTGACTTATAAAACAGTAACTCCTCTGGGCAACACCTTAATATTAAACATAATAAAGTAGAAAGACTTGCTAGCAGAATAGATAAGGAAGTCAGAATTTCAGGGCTTGAAAGCAGAACCAATATAATAAAAAAGAAGAAAATAGAAAAAAATTTTCAGAAACCTTAGTAAGATTCCACTAAGAAGAACAAATTTCCATTTTATGGGCATTGATGAAGAAGAGAGGATATCTATAGGAATAGGATATGTATTCAATGAATAACAGCAGACAACTTCCAAAGGAAAAGAGAAATCTATTGAAGTACAGGGGCCTTTTAGAAAACTTAACAGACCTGGCCAGAAAAGAACCAGAAGGTTGAAATAGTAAATACGGAGAACAAGGAAAGAATACAGAAAGCTTTAAAAGAGAACAAGGATGAAAGTAAAAATAGATCAATTTATTTGATTAGCATAGATGTGAAAAAACCTCACTTGCTAACCAAATTCATCAACTAATAAAAAAATAACATGTGCCATGCTCAATTTGGTATCACTAGATGTTTGTGTAGTTGGTTCAACGTTTGTAATTCAATAAACACAATAGAGTACATAGACAGAATAAGGAACAAGTATCACGTGATTACCTCAGTTGACATAGAAAAAGCCTGTAACAGAATTCAATGTCTTTTATAATAAAAACTGTGGATAAGTTAGGAGTAAAGGAATTGTATCTCAACATAACACAGTCTATGTAAGACAAATGTACAGTCAACATTATATTAAATGGTGGAAAATGGAGTCCATTTTCTCTAAAAGCAGGATCAAGAAACTCTCTCTATTCTTATTCAGTATATCACCAGAATACTGGCCAAAGCAATAAGCCAAGAGAAAGAAATAAAAAGGATCCAGCTACTTTGGAGGTAGGATCAGGAGGATTTGGGTTCAAAGGTAGGCTACCCTAAAAGTTAGACAGAAAGTATATCTCTAGATATCAGAGACTCTCTCTCTCTCTCTCTCTCAAATATTGAGCAATATTATCAAAATTATAAGCCACATCAAAATTTCTCAAAGATTAATGGAAATAATAAGCCAATAGTAAACACGTGATACATTTTGTTCAAAACCTTGGCATGATTTTTACACAACACAAAGTTTAGCATAGTAGCACAAAATATGAAATGTATGTGGTATCTTATATGTCCTTTTTCTATGTAGAGAAGGAAAGAAAGTCTGATAGTTCAGGAATACATGCTATATCTCATCTGCTATTCAAATTTTATCCCTATTATTATGCTCGTAAAAAAGGAATTTATTGCAGCCAGAATTAATCTAAATAAATCAACAAACCACCAATTTCTCTATTACTAAAAAAATTTAAGCTGTCTCTTACATCACTTTACCTATGATTTCAAACTTATATAAGGTGTTATAAATGTGCTTCCATAACTTTGGAGAAAGTTCCATGGGTTAGTCCAGAAGTAATAGACAAAGTAAATTTGATTGATGTGCGTTTCATGTATATATGGAAATATTAAAATGAAATATATTTATACAATTGTTGTATACTGATGCAATGTAAAAAACCACAAAATGGTATTGGCACAGCAAGTTGTTTGTAAAAAATTAAGAATATAGGCAGATGCGTTACTCTCACTGTTTCATAACATAAATGATAGATTTTAAACTTATTATCTTTAAGTAGTTTTGCAAAAGTGTTTTAATAATTTTTAAATTCAATGTGTCAGTTTATGTGTCCTTGATCAATGTAACCCCATTTGCTTTGTCTTGTAATCTTTATGTTTTCCTTTTGATTTTTTTTTGGGATAATACTTTTTCTATAAGTGATAGAGTTAGAAATCAAATATTACTGTATGAAGTAACCTAGGCAAAATGGGTTTAAAGATTTGAATATGATGTTTAAAATTTAGGAGAAAAAGCTAAGTGAACTTATCATGATCTATTCATAGAAATAAGCTTTTAATTATGAAGACAATGTATTTATGGGAATCACAAAATACCTATCAGCTTGGTCAAGAATTTTTTAAAATTCTCTCTATATAATGGGATGGCTAGAATAGAAAAATTAGCTAGAATAAAATGTCTTATTTTCTTTAATATTCATAGTAAAAGACAAACATTCAGCAGAAAAAAGACAATTAGATAAATAATTATACTTTAAAATCAGATAAAATTGGGTACCAGGGGATCACACTTATTATCCTAGCTAGTCAGGAGGCTGAAGATCTGCATCAAAGCCAGCCCATCAGCTGAGTAGAAAGCTATATGAGACCCTATCTCCAATTAACCAGTGTAGCTCAAGTGGTAGAGCGCCAATCATGAGTGACAAAGCCAAGTGAGAACATAAAGCCCTGAGTTCAAATTACAGTAACAGCAAAAAAAATTTTTTTTAAAAAAGACAAAACTTAACTGGGCATGTTACTCAGTGACAGAACAATTCCCTAGCATGTGAATTGCTCCGAGTTCAATAGCCAGCATTGCAAAACAAATCAAATGAAATGAATATTTCATCTTATTAATAAGAAAAACCGCAAGCTTTTTAAAAAACATAGCGTGACTTTGCATCTGTAAAATTGTTAATCATTTGAGCATAGCTCTAGTCATCCCAAATGATACTGAGATGAAGTGTAGTGTTTAAGAAAGTAATCTCTAGAGTCATACAGACAGGAATTCTTTTGCCCTGGCCTTGGTCATGTTATTGTCCTCACTGATTGTGTTTGCCATCTGTAAAATGGGATAATAATAGTTCTAGCCTCCTAAGCTTGTTGTAGTACTTGCGATCATATGAAAGTGTTCAAGAAGGGCTATAAAAATGGAAGATATGAGTAACATTTTAGCAGCTGCTGTACTTCATAGAAACTGCCAAATTTGAGACATCTGAACTTGTGAGGGGGTTGCTCTGTATTAGCATTCCTCTGGAGAAGGCAGAAAGGTCCCTATCAAAACATGCCATTCATTTCTCCTTCTATCTAGTTTTAACTAAAGCACAGTATAAGAGTTAAATTGTCCAGCATTAACGAGGGGGAGTTCCCAGGGAATTTGCTAGTCAGGCTGAAGTGCATTGTACTCTAACAAGACAATCCAAAGTATATTCTGGAGACCAGCAGCTGAGCACCCAGTCGCCCCGGGGGGAGAGATGTCCCCAGCTCCTGTGGGACCCAGCCAGAACCGGCTAAAGAGCAGGCTGCACAGTGACACTGAGGCTGGTTCTAATGAGCTGTGAGAGATGCTGTGCCAAGAGTGTTTATAACCCTAAGACATATGCTGTCCTCCTCTGGCCTGGGGAGGATGAAATGGTGTCACACTCCAGATGTTCCTCAACAACGCTGCACTCCATAAACCCCCAACTTGACCAACTCAAATCAGAAAGCTCTGAAATTTCCTCACTGAGAATTGTCCATGTTAGAGGTGAGAATTGGAAAATTTGAAGATACTTAAAATTGATCCTCTGAAAACGAAAGATCATTTTCAACCCCTACACAAGAGGCTTCCCGTGAGCAAGCATGTGGCGTGTGTGTGTGCATGTGCACGCATACCCACACCCACTCACGCACACATGCATTCGTGTGTGACTGAGAAAGGGGAAGGATAGTAAGGGAGATGATGCATCTCCTTTCTAAGGCACATCATAAATTACTTTTCTAACCTTGCCAGCAGTGCCATGATCAGCTCTTATTTCCTGCAAACTGCTTGTACTTACTACTCAGATCAAACTGGTCTCTTATCTCTGAACCCAGTTAGTGCATTTGAAAGCACATTAAAAAAATTGGGGGCCAGGAAGGTGGCTCAGTGGTAGAGTGTTTGCCTCACATGCATGAGGCCCTGGGTTCAATTCCTCAGTACCACAGAAACAGAAAAAGCCAGAATTGGCGCTGTGGCTCAAGTGGTAGAGCGCTAGCCTTGAGCTCAAGAGCTGAAGGACAGTGCCCAGGCCCAGAGTTCAGGCCCCACGACTGACAAAAAAGGAAAATAAAAAAAAGAAAAGAAATCAGAATAAGTAGTATCTTAACTGTTCTCTAAATACCTTGTGGGTTGCTTTGCTTTATCTATTTTTTGTTTATTTCTGAACTAGTGTTTGGACAAAGGTCCTTGTACTACGCAAATGATCTAGTGCTGAGCAAAAACCCCAGCCTTTTATAAGTATTTTTTACATCTCTGATGAGACTTAGATATTCTCCTTGACAAGTTTTATATATATATATTTACATATAAATATATAGAACATATATTTATGATATATAAATATCTATTTATATGCAATTTGTCAATGAGAATATTATATATATATATATAATATTCTGGTTCTCTCCTCCCAGTATAGTTCTGGACATAGAGATAACTATTTGTAAACTGATGTAATAATTAAATATTGAGAAATCGCCAAGTTTTCTCTGTGCAGATAACAAGAACTACGAAGGATGGGAAAACCAAATCGAGTGAATCAAACCATTGTTTCAGACTTCCTCCTCCTAGGTCTTTCCCAGTGGCCAGAGGAGCAGCCTCTTCTCTTTGGTGTCTTTCTGGGCATGTACCTGGTCACCATGTTGGGGAACTTGCTCATCATCCTGGCCATCAGCTCCGATCCACATCTCCATACGCCCATGTACTTCTTCCTGGCTAATCTATCCTTCACGGATGCCTGTTTTACTTCGGCCTCCGTTCCCAAGATGCTTGCCAACATTCACAGGCGGAGCCAGACCATCTCCTATTCCGGGTGTCTCACACAGCTGTATTTTCTTCTTATGTTCGGTGGCCTGGATAACTGCCTCCTGGCCGTGATGGCATATGACCGCTATGTGGCCATCTGCCAGCCGCTCCATTACAGCACAGCCATGAGTCCTCACCTCTGTGCACTAATGCTGGGCCTGTGCTGGGTGTTGACCAACTGTCCTGCCCTGATGCACACCCTGTTGCTGACGCGGGTGGTTTTCTGTGGCCAGAAGGCGATCTCCCACTTCTACTGTGATCCCAGTGCTCTGCTGAAGCTCGCCTGCTCTGACACCCACATCAATGAGCTGATGATCATCGCCATGGGCATGCTGTTCCTGGCTGTTCCTCTCATGCTGATCGTGTTTTCCTATGCCCGCATTTCCCAGGCTGTGTTGAGCATCTCATCCTCGGGAGGGCGATGGAAGGCTTTCTCTACCTGTGGTTCTCATCTCACCATGGTTCTGCTCTTCTACGGCTCCCTGATGGGTGTGTATTTACTTCCCCCATCCACCCACTCTGCAGAGAGGGAAAGCAGGGCTGCTGTTCTCTACATGGTGGTCATTCCCATGGTGAACCCATTCATCTACAGCTTGAGGAACAGAGACATGAAGGAGGCTTTAGGGAGACTTTTTGGTGGGAGAGCATTTTTCTTACCATGACTGTGACACTCAGTCCTTCCCTCCATCACTTCAGTGATTCCTCATTACACACACACACACACACACACACACATACACACACACACTTCATTCCTTTCCTGATTTCAGCGAGACCATTACTAACAGCAGAATACTATTCTACACTCTTCACTGCTAACACAACATCTATTGGCCACAGCAAACCTTGCAAGGCTTATCTTATAATGTTGGTATCTGGAGTGAAGGAATTTTACCCCACAATGAAGTCAAAAGACAAAAGGAAAAAAAATATTTATTGACCATCTACAATATTTCCTTGCTATTTGACACACTAGTTCTTTGAGGAAGAATTGTGAGAAATGAATCTTAGGATATCAATAACCTGCTAACACCAGGGAACTTAATTCCAACGCGTGTTCTCTTTCTATTTATCACATTGTGGTGATCATGACAAGGAAAGTGTGACTATGGATTTAAGGATAATGTTGAGTAATGATACCAAGGCATATGAATTAACTTAATATGCATTCTATGGCGTGGTATTTCCTTATCATTTTATGTCTGTAACATAAAAGGCACTCCTTTGTTAGTGGAATGTAGAGGTCAAAAGAATCCAATATTTGTTCAGTGTCTGCTATGTGCCAATTTTATTGTTCTCTGGGTTCTTTTCCTAAAATATATCTTATTTTTAAAAAATAATGAGTCAAGTGTGTTGTTAATTTTTAGAGCAATAATTTTTTTTTATCAAAATCTGTCTGGTAGAAATTAATGTTGCAAAAAGTGACTAGCACCAGCACCAGTGGCTCATGCCTGTAATCCTAGCTTCTCAGGAGGCTGAGACCTGAGGATCACAGTTTGAAGCTGGCCCAAGCAGAAAGTTTGTGAGACTTTTATCTTGAATTCACTAACAAAAAGCCAGAAGTGAGGTTGTGGCTCAGTGGTAGAACACAAGCCTTGAGCACAAAAGCTCAGGCACAGTCCCAGGCCTTGAGTTCAAGCCCCAGGACTGGCACACAAACAAAAGTGACTAGTAATAGCTATCTTTTTGAAAGATAATTGCTTTGCTAGCTACATACTTTTTCAAATAAGGAAAGTAAATTTGGAGGTTGGTATAAAAATATTCTTGGCACCACACGAGAGAGAGAAACATATAAAATGTTTCTGATATCATAAGACAAAGTTTATGCTTTGCTAAATTTTTGTCATTTTCATTGTTTTTCAAAGAGAGTATGACTTTTGGGTGTTGTGAAACAGATTTTGTTTTTAAAGGAAGGAACTCAAACATCTAACATGCATCACCCTTGGGCATTCTACCTTCCTCCTCTGTCTCTTTCTCTTGGATAAATAAAGGATAGGAATAATGAGATAATTAAAAGATCTTGGTCTTAAATTATAAAAAAGATTCTGGTCTTAAATTATTTGATCCTAACAACAGCACTCTATTCCTGCACAATTTCTAGTACCAAAGCAAAAGTCAGAAAAGGCAAAGTTTATGTGTGTGTGTGTGTGTAAATAGTATCTCTCTCTCTTTTTTATTAATAGTCCTACATCTCCCTTCCAGTCTCCCAAGTGCACGATTCCTCTTATAATATGTGTATTTATAAAGATGTTTATCTCAAGATAATTGTGGAGAGTCTGAAATTCACAGGGCAATCAGCAGGCTGGAGTTTAAGCCAGAATTAAATTAACAATCTTTTAAAAAAAGTTTTATTGTAAAGGTGATATTCAGAGGGATTACAGTTAGATAAGGAAATGAGTACAATTGTTGTTGAACATTGCTATTTCCCAACATCTTTTTTTTCCAGCAAACTTCATTTTTAAGAGCAAGTTTGGGTTTTCAGCAAAATTGAACAGAAATTTCCCATACATTTAGAGTCATGAATGATTCCCAACCTCATCCATTGTTAACATGTGTTTCAGGCAATTGATCTCAATGGGACACATTGCTATCTCTCAAAATCCATAACATGCATTAAAGCTTGCTTTCTGGTGTTAGACATTCTATAAGTTTGACAAATCTATAATGGTATATATTCTCTTTCACATAGCCTAAAAGAAGAGTTGCAATTCTTGAAAATCTCTGTGCTGAACTCATTCATCCTTCTCTCCTATTTACTCCCTGACAATCCCTGATCTTTTTTTTTTTTGTCATTTTTGGGGCTTGAACTCTGGGCCTGGGAGCTGTCCCTCAGCTCTTTAGCTCAAGGCCAGGCTGTGCCACTTGAGCCACGGCACCACTTCTGGTTTTCTGGTGGTTAATTGGAGATAAGAGTTTCACGGACTTTCCTTCCCAGGCTGGCTTTGGACTGTGATACTCAGATCTCAGCCTCCTGAGTAGCTAGGATTACAGGCATGAGCCACTAGCACCTGGCTCCCTGATCTTTTTATTGTTTCCATGGTTTTGTCTTTTACAGCACGGCACATACTTAATATCATGCAATGTGTGCCCTTAACAGATTAGCTTCTTTCATTGAATAATATGCATTTAAGATTTTTTTGCTTTATGTCTTTTTTATTTTAAATATATTTTTTATTGTAAAGATACTGTACAGAGGGGTTACAGTTACATGAGCAAGGTAATGAATCCATTTCCTATTGAGCATTGTTAACCCCTCCTTTGTTTTTCTCCTACTATCCCTTTCCTCCCCAACTTCCCAACTCTTCCCTCTCCTACTGCCCCCACCCCCAAAGTTATAAAGTTCGTTTTCAACATAGTACATCTTGTGCATCTCATTGTTACAATGGGCCACCCTGTATCCTTATTTCAGAATTTTGTTATTTCTCTTCCCCTCCCCAAATTAGAAAAATGTATATGCAAGATACAGGACACCGGAATCAAATACAGTGACAAAAGGGGTTATACCATGGGGGAAGAAATACAACCCTCCCAATCACATAATACATTATAAGTACATTTGAAAGAATAACAAGAAAGATAAAATCTCTTGTGTCACTCTCGGGGTTTATTTCGCTTAGCATCAGGTTATATAGTCATATGTACATAGCTTTTTATAGCTGAGTAAAGTAATGTGTTGTTATATGGAATATTCGTTGTCAGGTGTTAAATCGGTATCACTTTCATTTCTTCATGTACATATCCAAGTGTTCAATACCATTTCTTGAAGAATATCTTTTCACCATTGTATTGCTTTTGTTTCTTTGTCAAGTTAGTTGCTATTTATGAGGATGAACTTTTGGGTTCTCTAGCTCATTCCATTAATTGGTCTGTATATTCTTTCACAAATACCATTCTGTCCTGATTACTGCAGCTTCATGGTGAATCTTGATGTCTGGTAGTAATTTTCAGTCTTTATTCTTCTTCTATACTGTGTTAGTTATTTTTGATCTTTTGCTATTGTATGTAAACTTCAGAAACATGGTCAGTCTCCAAAAAATGACTTGCTGCCTTAACCCCAGTTTAGTTGAATTTGTAAATCAAGTTGGGAAGAATTGACTTGGATAATGTTGAATCTTCCCATCCAAGAAAATGGAATTTATATTCATTATGTAATTATTTTGTCCCTATTGTCTGATTTTGGAGTTTTTCTTTACATCTTGTAATATTTTGTTTTGTTTACACCTATTCACTTCAGTGGGTGCTTGTATATGTGGAAACACTTTTCATTTCAAATTCTACTTATTCATTATTGGTCTATCAGAAAAAACTAACATATATAATACTTTATATTTGTGAGCCTTGCTAGAATTTCTAAGTAATTACAGTTTTTTTTTACATTTTCCATATAGAACATATTAGCTGCAAACAGTTTCATTTCTTCCTCCCAAGTCTGCATACTTTTTATCTTTTTAAATTTAGTTTTTATTGTAAAGGTGATATGCTTTATTTCTATTTATTGTCCTACGGAATTAGCTAAGACTTCCAGAACAATGCTGAATGAGTGCTTTACTCACAATATTAATGGAAAAGCTGGTATTTTCTTAGCATCCAGTACAATGTTATTTGTAAGGTTTTTTGTAGGTATCTTTTATCAAGTTGAAGTTCTACCCCATTCCTAGTTTACTGTAGTTTTGTAAAAAAAATGTGAATGGTAATCTGATGTTTTCAAATGTATTTGCTATAATCTATTGTGCAGTCTTTCTTCTTTTGCCCATTGAGTGACAGTTTGCAAGAATTGATTTTCAAATGTTTAAATATGCTTGTATACCTCAAATATGTAACACTTGGTCCTGGAGTATAATTTTTATGTACTGTATCAGATTTAATTTGTCAGTATTGCATGGAACACTTTTGTATTCAAATATCATAAGAGAAATGGGTCTTTGATTTTTCCTTTCCTATGTCTCTGACTTCTGTATTAAGATAATGATGGTCCAACAGAATAAATGGTATTCCCTCTGTTTCTATCTTCTAAAACAATTGGTAGAGAACTAATATAAATTTTCTTTATATGTTTGGTAGACCTCACCAGTGAACCCACTGGAGCCTGTAATTTTCTGATTAGGAGGCTTATTATTGGAAAGGAATTATTGAATCAATTAATTGAATAGATTCAAACCTATTTGTTTTACCTGTTTCTTTTTGTGGAGATTTAAGCAGACTGTTGCTTTCAAGGAATTGGTCCATTTCACTCAGATCATGGAAGTTAGGGGTATAGAATTGGAAATGATATCTTTGTTATTCTTTTTGTATCTATGAGATTTGTAAAAATGTCTCCTCAATCATTTATGATACTAATAATTTGTATGTTTTTCTTAGCCTTGGCTAAAGCCTTATCAAGTTTACTGGACTTGCTGTGTGTGGTGGCATATGCCTGCAATCTCAGTACCCAAGGGATTGTGAGTTCAAGACCAGTCTGGGCTGCCTATCTGTGAAGACTCTGTTGCAATAGTCTTTTTTTTAAATCAATTTTTTAAGAGAACTAGTTCTGGGTCCCATTTATTTTCTCTGTCAATTTCTTTTTTTCTGTTTTATAGATTTCTTATTTTTCAATTGCATAGATTTTGCTCTATATTACTACTTACTTTGTGTTTAATTTTCTTTTCTTTCTCTTATTTTCTAA